CGCTGAATCAGAGACCATGAATCGGCGTGCACTCGCGGGGCGCGAGAAGATTCTTGGACCAGACCACCCTGATACTCTAGCAAGCGTCAACAATCTTGCCCTAGTGCTGGGATACCGGGGAAAGTACGCTGAATCAGAAAAGCTAAATCGGTCTGCGCTTGAGGGATATGAGAAGATTCTGGGACCAGACCATCCCCACACCCTAACAAGTGTCGAAAACCTGGCTGTGGCCCTACGATACCAAAGGAGGTACAGCGAATCGGAGCCGATGAACCGCCGCGCCTTGGAGGGGTACCAAAGGGTTCTAGGACCACTCCACCCGCACACAATAAGAAGCAGCCGTAACCTGGCCAGGTTGTTGCAACATCAAGGAAAGCACGACGAATCGGTGACGATGAACCATGGTGCCCGGGAGAGACCGCCAAAGAAACCAGGCCGAATGAGGCCCCAATTTTTAAGCCGTATGATCTCGCGTTTTCGCAGGACTTCGATCTTCAGAAAGCTGACCAAGTAATTCGCCATATCGCAATCAATTTGGCGTGACCGCAGGGGGCAGGAGTGGGCCACCATTTTCTGCCAGCGCGGGAGACTCTGGGGACCTGCTGGGGATAATGGTTGGTTATCGGGAACCACCAGGAATAGTGAATTAGAGCCCAAGAGTGGAAATCTGTTCAAATGTTGTTTTCTAGGAGTGAGGGGTACTTGTGTGCAGGGAGGAAGTATTGGGAATTTTCACCTCTTCGCATTTTTGTTCCATTTTTTTCTCTCCTATCCAAGGCCTGTACTAGGACTCGGGTATATATTGAATGGAGAGAATGATGTACAAAGCCCTCTCGCATATCTTAATCACGATAGGCACTACAAGATGGTGCGAGGAACCTAAAGGAGGGTCCAGCGGTGTTGCAAAATGTATTTCCTTATATAATCAGGATTAGGGTTATTCTGCCCACGACTCAGATATCCGTACGGTAGCCTCCCATGATATCATAATAATTATTATGTTCTCCCTCTATATACTTTTTTTGTTCGAGGACAATTCTGTGTTTCCGACTGCCAACTGCCCCTTTCCCCATTTCTGCTTTCCTTTTACATTCTTCCTCTCTTCTGCCATATTTTTTTTCCACTCTCCTCTGTATAATTCTACAAGTAGTACAAGAATAGAAATCTGGTCCCAGTTCTGTTATTACAAATGTTCCTGATCCATCTGGTATAGGATATCTATATCCACACAGAAAAGTACTAGAGATGAGTATTGGGGAAAAATAGGGAAACTGAAATGGTGTGTTGTATGATACTAATTATTTAGGAAACATAAACTTAATATTTATAGCCCGGAAGGATAAATGAGGTTGGAGGGTAAGTCTAACCCTGATTAAGCAAGGGACCGCGTTTTGCAGCACCGCTGGACTCCCCTTTAGATGCTTCCGGCCATGCCAAGAGAATTACGATACTCGAGTAGGTCGGATGTTAGGTATATATAGGCAATGGATCTTGGCCTGGCGTGTACCTGTGGTGGCGGGGATTTGGGTGTCTAAAGGGCTTTAGGTTGGAGCTCGCGGTCACATGTTGTTTGGTGTTTTATAATACAAGTATTTAGTTCGCAGGCTCGCACCTGAGAAGAGTAACGAAGTTTCTTTCCCACCACACAACATCCAGGAAAACAAATTTGCAAAAGAGGGCAATTAAAAATCCTTAGATCAAAATATCCAGCCATACACATTCCTGTCATACCAACACCCACAAACTCGCCCTTGCACCCGAAGCCCGGGGAAAGCAGGATGGCGTAGAAAATCTAAATAGGCGAGCAGTAGAGGTCAACTACAAGGCATCTGGTTCCGGGAGGGCTGAGCGCCTAGTCTGCCTATGATAGGTTCTTGCTTTCGCATGCCGTATGATACCAGTAGGAATAAGGTATTGGTTAAGACCTGTTCCCATCGGGCGTCAGGAATCAGGTATTTAGTTCGGCTTGTTAGCATTTTGTACAGGTTGGCGTAGGGCAGTTGGTTTTGTGCGGCTTGCTTTCTCATGCCGATTAGCATTGGGCCGAGGGCATTGGTTTGAGTGGTTTAGATTATTTTGGGGGGTCTAGGGTCACGGGGGATCATGTTGTTCTCAAGAGAGCCTGTTTCTTTGGATCTCACTATCTTCCATTTTTTTTTTTTCCGAGTATAATATCTGTCTTCGTTTTTGGGCTGTTAGTATTTGGAAGGGATGGCGGAATAGCTGGACGTTTGGCTGATACTCCCCTTTGAAGGAGCTCCATTTTAGCCGACAAGAAACTCACTTGGTTAGGGGATATCCTGCTGCCCGAACTGCTACCCGCTTGACCAAGCAGACCACTTTGTCGTCGAGATACCCCACTGATCAAGTGGAACATCCATATATCCCGGTGACACACTAAACTTTTTTAATTTTAGTCTTAAACAGTTTCGGACATGCTACGAAGCTTCCCTTAGGGGCACCCCCCCATCTGCGTTTATACACTCTACGACCAACAAACTCTTCTTTCCTCAACAACGTCGCTCTCTTGTAACTTTCCCCCTCGCTTTGCTGCTCAAAATAGCCTATATTCCCCGTTCACGTAGGGCAAATATCAGGAGCCACCTCCTAGCTTCGCTCCCATCCAGACAATGACCATCATGCCCACTATCTCTGAGCGTGCTCCTTTAGAGCTTGATAGTGAAGAACTCAGTTGTATGCAATTCTCGGGGAGAGAGGATCCTGAACAAACTCCTGACGTGGATCTGGACCTACAACCGGGGATCGGCCAGCTGTTAGAGACCATCTAGGCTCACAAAATACCATATCTCCACCACTACTGGGTTAAGCAGCGCACGGGGATTGGGAGAACCAGGGTTTTTACCACGAATCAGAAAGGATATAAGATTCAGGGAAGTGGGGGATTAATGGTAGGCGATGATGTTCGGGTGGACCCCCGATGAAGGGTAAGAGTAAAGCGGCGATTGTGCACCTTCTTAGAATGCAATTCGCACCGCTGGGGGGAGCTGGTTGAAGAGCTGCGGAGTTGGTAGGCTCAGCACAATGTTATGGAATTTTGGGCAGCAACGCGGCAGAGAATAGAGATGGCTAAGGGAAAAGACATCTGTCCACAAAACTAGCTATAGTTAGATCATTTCCCCTTGCTTTAGATATGGCACGCTGCTAATTGTACTACATCTACAGCTATATAGTTTTGGTGCCGCGGGGGCTCGTTTTTTTCGTTATTTCTCCACTGTTCGTCGACCTTAGGCACCGTAAACCCTTGAGTGCGGGAGCGGCATCCAAATCTCTGATCTGTTGTTTATTGTTCACCCCTCTCGTCTTACCTCCTGGTGAGCAGGTAACCTTATTTACACAAATAAGAAAACTCCTACATTGCTTCCTTTCTCCCCCTATTCTCTTCTATTATTTTCTCCCCATCCCCTTCTCCTCACATTAGCTCTCTTCTCTTCCTTCCCATTCACCTCCGATATTATCTCACTGCCTTTGTTTCCTTCTCCCCTCTATTTTCCTCGATACCCCACACATTGCTCCAATACGGCTTTCTTCTCACCACTTCTCACTTCCAGACTTCTGACCTATCCTCCATATCCTTACTACAAGATAATGAGCTGCTTTGTTCTCCGGTAGGTAGAACCATCTTTCATTTCCCAAACAAAGAAATAAAAGGAATAAGAGCTAACATTTTAGGGTGTGGGTCAAAGCATAATGAATTCCTCTTTTCCAAGAGAATTTTTTCCTTCATCTCTGGTCACGGGCTACTTTTTACATTTTTTCCCTCCACCCGGACTCTGATTTACCAGTGGCGAAAGAAATCTACCAGGTTACTAGCCTGAGGACATTTTGGGGTTTGTTCTGCCACTGGCATGTCCCCAGCCACAGAGTAACCAGCCCGGTCAACAGAGAACTTTGTTCATCGAATATGCAACTAAGAAACTGTGGTACAACATATGTATCTTACCTTTATCGCTGAGTCCCCGTGACTTCAAGTGTCTAGTGGAGCGACCTGTGGTGATTGAGGTTTTCTGAATTGAGCATCGGGGGTATTTGGGAGGCTCGAGGAAATGAGATCAGCTGCAATGAAAGGTTGCCGGAATCATGTTCAATCCAAATAGATCCAGAATACAATGGAGAGGCCGAGTTTTCAGTTCTGCTGGATGTCCTGGACGCATTGATTATTTTTTTGTTTCTTTTGCCATATCGGTAGGAATGCTGGAAAGGGGTAATATTAGAGAAGTTAAGAGGTAATCCACATCCTAAGTTACTTCCTGCTCCTGTAATTGCTATCTCTCTGCTATCAATCAATTCTATTTTCCATTTACTCTTCCATCAAATTACAAACCGACAAATAGCAATTCCCACCATTAGTTTCTTGATAGTAGAGTAGGTTACCGTACCTCGAGCGAATTGACGCCGTACAGCAAAGTACACTGGGTGATATAAAATTCCGGAAAACGGCGTTTCGCATCCTTAGTAATATGGTCTTCCATCCTATTAGTTTCCGTCCAGTTGAGGGAATCTGACTTCGACTTGTATCCCCCGGCACCTACCGCACCGGAGAGGTTTATCCAAATTTGTGGAAACCGAGACTATGAGTTGAGTATTGTTTTGCCCTTTTGAGTTCCGGATAGCCTGAGGATGCTATGTATACTCGAGTAATGTAACCC